AGATAGCTCGGTGTCTTGGATGTTGGGTATAAACCAGGTTTCTCTTTTAGCTATGAAACTTCAAAGGAGTTCTGTCGGTCGTTGAGTTTAGCTGTCTTTCAGCATAGTCCTTGAGAGATTTTTTTGCCAGCCAGGGGTTCAAAAGCGACGAACTCCCAGAATAGCTGGTGTTTCGGAGTTATGAATTAGGAAAAATCAGTTAAAGTTGGAGTCTTTCCTAGGAGTATTCGATTTTTGTGAATCCGTCGCTGGCTGAAGTGACCCACTTCAACAGTCCAATGTGCTAAACGCTGGCTGTGGATTGCCGCTATTTAGACCAGAGGCTTCCATTGCTCTGACTAAGCGGATCCTGCGTTCTAGCAGCACAACTGTGTGCTTTTGTACCGGGAGATGAATATTCGGTGATCCCTGACAGTATCCCAGTTTGGCCGCAAGGTGCGCCGAACACCTCCCATGTAGTTGGCAAACTTAGGCAATTGTACACCTTTAAACCTAACTAGCTCCCCGATGCAATTTCACTCACTGATGTCATGTAGAGAGTTGAAATTCTAGTTGAGGACCTTTGTATCTAACACCATCGGGATCAGAACCAAATCTGTTCCTCTGTGTGCGAATTAATTGGGCCAGGAGAAACCAGTGTCGATTTTATTACATATGGATCCGCAAAGGAGATAAACGGAAAGAATAATCACGTAGAACCCCCGAGTAAAGTTCAGGAGTTGGAGTAGCCCGGACTAGTGAGAATGGCTGAAGCTCACACTTCTTGTGAGCACATTCAGCTTGGTAGAAACTACTCGTTCGCACAAATATACCCGGTGAGTTTCGTTGACTTTCGGTACGCGCAATCCAGGCAAAGATACCGAAATTCTCCGAAATGCTCGTAGTGTATTTCTCTAGAGCATTAATTTTAGTGGCGAGTGGTCAGTGTCAGTATGAAACGACTAGGTTACGGCGGCCAGAGTTCTACATTTTCAAATGCATAATCGTGCATTCAGATGGGTAATATTTTGGGGAGAAAGCGTTGCTAGTTACACTGACTCGTGATATTCCTCCAGTAAGTCAAAGAGGCATGCGGTACAGAAAATTGAATTGTCTGTACCGTGGTCAGTATTTCACATTGCGGAGTAAATTAACTTTAAAGTGTTTTCAAAAGGACTGCCTTTGGATACGTTTATAATACATCAGTATTAGGGGCGTTCTGAGATGTGAGTCAAGTTGCTTACTTCCCTTAGATGCAAGCAACCGATTCGTCAATTGAAACACATTTAAGCGAACATAGCCGAAACCTCACCTGTGCTTTCATCTGCAGCCAAAATGCCTTTACCAGGTTGAACAATTTGGTTCGCGATAGTTTTCAACCTGGCCTCTTGTTCCGGTTGTAAGTACTTTGGTAGAGACATGACTAACCACGACGGCTCAGAGGGCTTTCAAAAGGGTACCGTTTGTGTTGACCTCACAAATCAGGTCAACAAATTTTTTGGGTTCGTTTGAACATTGTGAATTCGAGTATGCTATTTGCGCCTCAGCTATTCAGTGGACAATTCAGGCGATGAATTCTCGTAGATGAAGCTGAACGGAAATCGCTGAGTCCCACTATTTGAGTCTCTTTGTTTTAAAGATGATGTTAAGCCGCTCTAAATTCGAATGTTAACTTGATTCGATGGAGGACAGCGACCTGAGTTTTGCTCCGCCTCGTGCTGGGGTCGATTTATGGAAACCGTCAGCTTCACTTGCATTGTTTTTTCGATAAATTGTTGGCCTTTCGAAATTATTGATCGGTGCTCAGGGCAACATGATCCTTATAATCTGGAATAGGGTATTCACGGATTCACGGATTGATACACAGGATCGAGGCTTTTGTCCAAGTTTCCCGGGGCGGTTTTGTTCTTGTCGGTCAGTGGCTGTCGTTCACCTGAAAGGCACAAGTGAAAAAAGGGTGTAGCACTGCTCTTTATGTTCT